GCAGGGGGTCAGAACTGGATGATCTTTGAAGTTCCTTCCAACCCAAGCCACTCTATGTTTCTATGACTTTTTCTCAGGAGAAAAAAAAAAAAAAAAGTAAGTGTAAATTTGGGATTAGATTTGCAAGGGTGAACAAGGACTCTGTTGCAAACACCCAAGCCAAAGGCATTGGTGATAACGGTGCTGGAACTGGAGATATGCTGCTGGCCCACCAGCTGCATGCTACCTGCGTCCCCTCTGGGGGCCCCTTCCTTCACACACCCAGATCTGGGCTCTCACAGCAGACTTGATCTCACACTTTCCATCAGTTCACAGAGAATTTATAGGAACCCGATGGCTCAGGAAAAAGCCATCACAGAACTCCTGCATGGAGTCAGATGGCCCAGATCCCACCTGTCTTGTCCCAGGTGTGGACACTCAAGCAGCTGATTTTCACAGGAATTGTAGGAATTAATTGTTTGAGAACTCTCTCTTGGTTTAAAACCTTGCTGAAATTGCCTGAGTGCTCTGACACATAGCACTACAAAACCCTATTAAAGTTTTAATACACATAAATGTTTGGTATGTATGTTTTAATATTTTCTAAACACAAAAACAAAACAAAACATTTTTTTCCCCCTGCTGTGTATTCCCTGCTTTCAGGGAGGATTGTGTGCTGCAAGAGGGTGAGAATGCTGCCAAGATGAGGAAGTTTCTTGCAGTATTCTTTTCTTCCTAAATGCAGAAACTTCTGAAGGACAGTTTTTCTGCAGAGCTCCCTGCTCAGAGATCTGAATTAAATCCAGGAAAATATAAATAAATAAAGTCTAAAGATCATCCCACAAGAAAGAAATGAAAACAAATGCATGCTATAGCCCCAGAAAATATAAAAGACTAAATTAATTCCTCATTGACGTGGATGCCAGGTCGTGTTGCAAGGGGAATGAATTTGGCTCTGAACCTGAACTGCAAGCCTGCAGCCTCCCCAGGGGTTTGGGTTTGTTGCAGTGGCTCTGTGCTGCTGTGAACGTCACTTTCTGGGAGCTGCGCCTTTCTCCCCTAAGTAATTCTGCAGCATTGCAATACTGTATTTAATCAATTCAGGTATCTTAAAATATTTCCTTGCCCAGCAGGAACATCACTGCACAGACCCAGAGATCAAGCAAATGTGTACTTTGTCGCCATTCACAAAAGCCAGACATTTCCTTCTTTAGGAGAATAAAAGGTAGGGAGCAGAAGGAAGAAGGAAAGTATGAAAATATTACATCAGATTTTTCTTCCCTTTTGTAAGGTGATAAAACTTCAGAGAAGTTTGTTTTCCTGCTTTTTTTTAATATGCCCCATCTCTACTTGAGTTTTGGAAAACAACAGTCTCAGACATAACACTAACTTAGTGACCTCATGTTTGTCTCAGAAAGACAATAGAGCAATAAAATCAGTGAATGCAGAAGTTTTATAGAGATCACATCAACAATTTCCTTCATTTTTCATGGTGCAATTGAGAATGAGAACTTTCTTATAAATGGGACATATTCAGTGAAGCATAGCACATTGTCACAAGAATCCTATCACAATACCAAATATTTAAAAAATGTTGATTGTCTCAAAATGGAGCATGTCCAGCTGACTCAACACTTTGCTTTCTGCTTTCCATTTGTGAATATCTGCATATCAGTATCTTGCTAGATAACAGCTAACAAAATTATCCTTAGATAATATACATATTATATATTATTATGCTATAATATATTATATATTATTGTATATAATTAACAATATTATCCTTAGATATTATATTATATATTGTATTAGATATTATATTATAATTATCCTAACAAAATTACCCTTAGGTGAAGACAATGTTGAAAAAAGATTCCTTTTGAAAAAATCCCACTGAACAGGGGAGGTGGTACTTTTAGCATCTCTAAGGCCCTTTTCTGCCCATAGGAATGATTAGTGTTTACTTCAGTAGAGTACCTGAAAAAATAATCCTTGTCTGCAGATGAAAATGCACTGTTTTAATGTAAGGTACTAATCTGTGAGAATTTAGTTTTGCTTGTGCAAAGGACTTTATATATACATTCTTAAGGTTATCTTAAATTGATTAATAATAGGTTTGAATTAACCCCAGATAAGGTTTTCTTCAGTATAGCTCTGGTGTAAATAAGATGTTGCAAGTACACGTTTATAAGGTTTTGAACCTGTTTGTTAGTCCCACAGAGAGAGACTCTTGTGCCTGTACTAAACCTGAGGGACACCACTGGGATGTTTCTATAAATGAGGTCATTTGTCCCGTGCAGTGTAGAACTGGGACCTTTTGTCCCCATGTGACAAGGCCTGGGAAGCATCCTGTGAGAGAGCAGGAGACCCTGACTCTGCTGATGCCATTGAGAGCAGAAAGCACCCAGGACTTCTCTGGATAATTAAACAGCATCCTAAACAGTGGAATCTCCTAAATAGCAGGATCTTGACAGCAGCATTTCTTCATGAGAGCACCGCACCCTCTGTGGCACATGGGGGTGTATATATTGGTGCCTGCAGTTCAGCATCTTCCCTTCAGTCTCTCACAGCCTCCTTGATTCCTTTCTGGAAAAGAAATGGTACAGATTTGGTCTCAGCTGGACTGAGATCATTTCAGCTGTCTTTGAATAAAGCCATCTGAAAAGTTTATAAATAGAAAAAGATTTTTTTTTTTTCCTGTGGTTTATGCCAGCAATATTGTTAATATTATAAAATCATTCAGTTTGGAAAAGACCTGTAAGATCATCTTGTTAACTGTAAAGAAGCACACTGCTGAGAAACTTACAGCCCAAGAGGCATCACAAGTAATGACAACAAGCAAGTCCTTACCATTACTTTAAGTGAACAATTCAAAGCTGGAAAAATGCAGTTAACAGATCATGAATTAAGCTACCACTACTGTAGCTGTTGTATTTTACACAAAGGCATGCAGTACATAAAGGTACATACTTTTATTTCTGGCACGTGTAGTCAAATACCGTCCAGCAATTCCTCTAACGAGTATCTTCAGTGGAGGGGCAATAATTTGCACTAATGCTTGGGAAACCCAATCTGAATTCATTAATTTTGCAATTTAGCAAGGAACGGGCAGCTTTTGCAAGAAAGAGCAGAACTCCATTGAAATAACCTGAGTAAAGTTTGGCTTCAGGACACCAGCATGAAATTGTATCAAACAACTTTTGTTACTAGTGCTTAGCAGAACAAAGCCTCAATAAATTAATGCACCGTGACAACAAACACTCTTACTAAAAACACATTTTGTGCATTTGATTTTCAGGACTGTGCTCAGTTCATCATTTGAGGCAATGCTTTGCATCACTGCAACTGTTGTACAGGCTGCTGAATCAGAGACACCTGCATCCAGCACTGCTACAGGCCTTCTGCATGGTCTTGGGCAGATTATTTCACTTCTCTGGGCTTCTGTTTCCCCTGCTGTCCCTTGCATGTCTTATCTGTTTAGATCTGTAAATTTCCAAGACAGGAATTCTCACTCGATGTGTCTGGTGAGCAGAAATCCCAACCGAGTCCTGGTTCATCTGCAGCCCCTGTGCACAGCTATAATACGAATAACAACACTCCCTCTTTCCATGGGCAGAGATGCAGAGTATCACACTTAGCAAAACCAAAGGCTTTGTAATAGGATCTCCCTCTAAAGCATCTGCTCTAAAATCTCAGAGAGATGGGCAAACTGCCAATTTGTTATTTATTTAGATTAGCAAGTATGAAGTTTGGAAGATCATACATTAATGATGTTCTGTTGCAGCTCTAGGTCATGTTGGAGTGGGATTATTGTACTCCATCACTTTTTTTTTTTTTTTTTTTTTTTTTTTTCTTCTATGCAGACAAAGTGATCTGCTTCAGGATAAAAGGTAAAGTTCACACTGACCACTTTCCCTGGTTGGGAACACAAGGTGTAAAAAAGCAGAAACAGAAACTGTGTTTCTAGCTGATTCCACCTTAAACATCACCTGTAACCTAAACCCACTCTCCTTTCAAAATAAACCCAGGCAATCTCATGCCAAGGTTTTTAAGTCTCAACGTTTCTCACTGTTACCTCTAAAATTTCTTATATAACCAAAATTTAAAAAGATGGCAGTTGTAGAAGAAATTACTGCAAGGTTGGGGAGCTCCTTGTGTGCCAGCCAGCATCACAAGTCATTTTTTAAGTGGAAAACAAGTGAGATGAATTTACTATGTTCTATTCATACACTTTTGGGGGTCTGTTTTGAGACTCACAGTTATTTTCAAACACAGATGCAGTCGTATAAAGTTTCTGCCTCATCCTCACTTTCTAGATGGACTACACAGACAACTGCATCCAAGATCAGCTCCTTGTTTCAGGGCTCCCTGCGCGTTCAGATTCTCGCAGGAGATATTTTCCACAGCTCGATCCGAGCATAAAAGCCTCGGTTTCTCCGAGTGACGGTCCCACAGAAGAAAACAGCAGTTCCCTCGCTGTATGGGGATGTATTCCCGACAGCCACCACCCGCCTTGACAGGGGGCAGCACGGCTCCAGGGGCCGGGGCAGGGTCGGGGGTCCCTTAGGGCACCCTCCCGCAGCACGGATGCCAAGCCAACCACCTTCCTCCCGCTACACACGAAATAAAAAAGTGCTCCGCTGATGCAGCCATTAGGGTGCTTAATAAATATTTATAGCCCCTCACCGGGGAGGTGATTGGCAGCGCGGGGGCAATCCCAACCCAGCGGAGGCAGGCTGGGAGAGGAGCCCGGGGGTGCTGGGCACCCGGAGGCTCCGTCCTTCGCTCCTCCGGTCCTTCGGTCCTTCTCCCTTCCCTACAGCCCGGGGGCAGCCCCCGGCCGGGACGAGCGGCTCCCCCCGCGGGGCGGCGAGGGGAGGGCGCTGCCGCAGTGACTGCAGTCCCGGGGAGAGCTGCGGAGCCGCCCCGCCGCAGCCGGGCTGCCTGCAGGTGAACTGAAAGTCGGCGGGGGGAAGGGGAGGAAGAGGAGGAGGAGAAGAAGGAGGAGGAGGAGGAGGTGGAGGAGGAGGAGGAGGAAGCACGCAGCCCGCCCTGCAGCCGACAGCTCCGCGCCGCTCCGCGCAGCCTCCGCCTCTCCGCAGCCCGCCGCGGGAGCGAGGGGTACCCCGAGTTTGCCCCTCCTTGCCTTGGGGTGACCTTGGGCTGGCTGCCCCCCTTTCCACCCTCCCACCTGCCCGAGGCCGGCCGCGAACTTGGGGAGGGCGGAGGGGGCCCCCCGTGGTCTCCGGGGAGCCGTGGGGGGCTCCGGCAGCCCGGGCGGGGGGGTCCCGTAGCGCAGCATCCTTCGGCTGGCCCGGCTGCCCCGTGCGGAGGAAACTTACCGGTACGTCCCACTTGCGAAGTTGGTGCTTTGTGAGCGCGGAGTACCGCAAAAATGACTTTTTTTTTTTTTTCCCCAAAAAAATGTTTGCGGGAGGAGGGGTGTGTCGCGTGTATGGACTGATGTCGGAAGCTTTCCATCAGGGAATTGCTGCGCTCTTTGGAGGGGGGATACAGAAAATGATGTAAGAGAGTGAGATGTCGGTGGGAAGCTTTCCCTTTGAGCCCTAGGGGCAGAAATTAGCGTCCCCAAAAAAGCGTCCCCAAGCCCGGAGCCGCCGCTCTGCCCGCAGGTACAGAGGGGGGATACTCAGGGGTGTTCAGCGTGTGGCTCTGCCCTCAGGTAGGATCTGCTCGCAGCCCAGGGCCAACTTTCTGCTGCTTCTGGAGTTAAAACTAGTGTTAACTTTAAGAATTTGGCTTCTCGGTGTTTGGCAAAGTTCAGCTGCTGCATGCAGTGCTGGTGGCTGCGGTGACGTAAGTTTCTCAGCATATTTAGACATCGTGTTTAGTGCTTCGTTTCGCGCGATGCTGTTGAAAAACAGTCCTTGCCGTTCACTTTCATTTTCCTTGGACTTTCTGTGACGTGATATTTTCAAAAGAGTTGTTTGGAGCTCTGCGGATGAGCAGTGCGTACCGCCTGGGGAAATCGCCAGCTGCTCTCGGGGTGCTCAGGAGGGCTGTGTGGACAGTAGCTGCTTCTTACAGTGACAGTGTGTTTAGGGTCTTGGGCAAAATATTGCATAATATCAAACATTAAAACTCCCCAAGTTTACCTCTTAATAAGCTGACATTCTGCAAGTTTAAACTGAAAATGAAAACCATGTTTATTTATTTATTTTTCTTCTGACCTTGTGAACCGTGTGAAGCAAAGTGCAGTGAGGATGCAGTGCACAGGAGTCTGTATCACCTGTCTCTAAGAATTAAAATTGTATATAGTGACCGATCTAGAAGATCTCTGACTAAATATAACAACTCCCTTTTTATTTTTTATTTTTTTTCCCTTAGCTGTATGTTTACTGAGAAATTTAACCTAATCTCAAATTCCTACTGTAGGCTTTGATAACACTGTAAGTAACGCATGCAGGAAGTCCAATGCATGTTGTTGGTCCTGGTGTTATGTACATTGTGCAGGGTTAAGTGCTAACAGAGCACAACTCCTGCAGCCAGAGAACAGCTCTGACCCCATATTGCACAGACCCTGAGCTCTGACTGACGTACATAGGCCTGAAGACTTTACATAATGTCATAGTTCAGGCTTGTGGGTTTTGGGCAGCTTTTATCCACAGATCATTGCAAAATTGGAGGAGGTTGTCTAGTACTGAGAGCTTTTAATGCTACTGTGCCTGGAACTATATACAGAGGGGTTTTGTTTGTTTGTTTTCTGCTCCTGTGCTGCAGATGAATTATTCTAAAACTGTTTTGAAAATTTACTCTAGTTTAGACCGGCTGTGTTTTCTAAAGCATTCAATGTACAACAATAAAACTGCCATTGAAGAAAACTACTGCATTTAGTTACTTTTTTTTTTTTTTTCTCCACAGAACTCTTCCCCCCATCCCAGAAAGCATTGCTTCTGTATTCAGTCATCTTTTTCCTTTCCTGAAAACAGATAGATGCTCTGAATAGCTAACTGTTGTCTACCTATTTCTCTATTTGAAACAGCAATCTCCTGTTTATTGCTTTGTGATAAATTGCTGTGCTGTTAAGCTGTACGTGTAGCGTTTGGTTTACACTACTGGAAGAGGTAGAAAAACTTTAGTTGCCTTTTTCTATTCCCTCCTTAGCCCCCCCAATTCCTAAGGAAGCCACTACTTTGGAACAGCAGAATTGTTTCTTGAGAGAGTACATTCATCTCTCTTTTTTGAAGGTTACAGTTTGGCAGTGCTCAAGTGTGGACACTTGTGTAATTGCTTCTGTCCGGGCGGTGGTTTTGCTGGGGCAAGGATGACGTCTAGGCTGCTGATGGTAATAGTTTGGATTTTGTAAGGTTGCCCTTAATTGAACAGCTCTCTTGTGTTTGACATTTGCCATGACCTCCTGCTGTAAGCAAAAGGAGACTATTAATGATTTTGAAGTTCATCTTTCACTGAGTTGAAAATTAGGATGTTTAGTTCTAGTTCCTGTTCTAGCTCTCAGCCATGGCTGAATCTTCACTTTTTTTTTTTTTTTTTTTTTGATATTCTATTGCATACCTATAAGACTTGACTTTTACATATGTATGGAAAAATTTAGCAATGTAGTGAAAACCTAAGTGCTTACAGACTGTTTTATAGATACTGAAGTCTTAAAGATAAGACTTGCTTATTTTTACAATTGCTATCTGGATTAACCAGTGTTTGCAGAGGACTACTAAATGTTGTCACAAACAGGGAAGAAAGCAAGGAGGAGAAAATAGGCTATGGGTGGCAAACATGGCACTGAGAATGGACAGCACAGCAAAGCAAGAATCAGAGGACATGAAATGAAGGGGGAAGCTAATGAGGAAGTAAATGGGAAAGTGGGGTGGAAGTAATGCTGGCAGGCAGGGAGAGAGGAAAAAATGGGGACTTTCTTGTTCAGTTTGACTCATCACTTCTATCAAAGTGTGCTGAGTTAACAATTTGATGCAGAATGTGAGATTGTTTTTTCTTACCTTTTCTTATGCTGGTTGTCTGACTTTATTGTAGTAGTGTATAAGCTCAAGCCAGTAGAGAAGAACTGTGTTGCAAACCCAGCTTAGTTATCTCAGCCCAGTTCTGGTAATTGACTGATTCATTTTGTGCACTACCTCAGTCCTGGGCTCTTCTGCTAAAGTAGTCCATGTGGCTGGTTTGTCCTGGTATCTCTGCATGTTTGATCCCTGGCAATGATACAGAGCTTGTCGACTTGAGCTTTCAAAGAGCCATCGGTGGTAACTGCTTTCCCTCATAAATAGCCTGGCTGGAACACAAATTGCTGACCTGGTGGTGAAGGTTTACCCAGTCCATTACAAATATGTGGGTTTCTGGACCTCTTTCAAAACATCATTTTCCAGCAGGCATCATTGAATCTTTCATTCTTCAAAAAATAAATTGCTTTTGCTTGAATGTATTATACTGAGGTGCATAGGAGCATTCATGTGTCATACTAGACATCCAAATCCTTTGGAATGAAAAAGATGTGTTCACTACTCTTCCAGTGGAGACTCGCACAGATGCTTAACATTGTTTATCTGCAAGTCTACATAGCATTTAGTTTGTGATATGGATTCATTGAAGATGTATGGAACTTTGTATACATAGTTTATATGTGAGAAACTGCTCCTATTATGTTTTCTTGACAGCTGAATAGTAGGGTTTCTTCCATTTTTCACCTAACATAAGCTGGAATTGGCTATATTCTTGCATGCTTTGCTTCAGAATTCATTAAATAATGGAATGGTTGTTTTCAAAGCCAGCATGAAATGAATTTATTCCAAATGTATATAAAGATTCAAGGAAAATACTGAGATTTTCATTGCTAAGACTGAGGTATGCTGCCAGATCTTGGGGGTAGTAATGTTATCTGTGCCAGGATTGTGTGCAATGTCAGGAGGAGAAGCAGATTCCATGCTGTGGACAGAGTGGAATGGGACAGAGCAGTGTAAATGTTTGTGTGATGATAAAGGCTTGTTTTTTGAAGGGGATATTAAAATGATCTGTTATGCCTTTTACTGAAGCTTCTCCATTCTTCTAAAGGAAGAAACCCTCCTTTAAATTTCTGTTGAAAACTTTTTGGGAAATGCTTCACAGACCTATTGGAATATCTAGGAATTGCTTGATACACTTTGTGCAATTTAATGGTAGGTCTGTAAAATAAATGAATAAATAAATAAAATGTGGACCCTGATTGTTTACCCCCTCCCCCCCCAGACACTGTAGCTTTTGTATTTGTAACCTTATCGTTCCTTTCCTTGTATCTCTTCCTTCCTCCTGTAGTACTCCTAATCTTTTTACTCTAGGCCCCAAACTGCCCCATTTTTAAAGTGCAGACTTTTGCTTGCTTTTCATAGTATAGACTTAAATTGGTTTTCATCCATGCAGTGGAGAGAGGGATAGATGCAGGGGAGCCTATTACTCTTCTATGCTACTTCTTGGAGCTTGGAGAGACATAAAATGATTTCCTCTAGAAGCAGGGAGTTTGGCTGAGAGAGGTGTTGAGGTTGTAAGGGTCCTCTGGAGATCATCTGGTCAGATTTGCATCTGCTCCAGCAGGGCCACCCACAGCAGGCAGCCCAGGACCATGTCCAGGTGGCTTTTGAGTATCTCTGAACTTCTGGTGTTTTGCATGTTGTTATGATGCTATATGATCTCTGTGTTGCCCAGACTTCCACAGGTCAACATTTTTACTCTTCAGCTTGCCTAGCTGTTCCTTATCTCTCATCTTTCATTCAGTTTTCTTGATCTGTGTCCCCAAAGAGGGGTACGATGCTTCTTGTTCTCATGCTCATTTCTCTTTACAAGGACAGGGCAGGAAGCCCTTGCAGTGCCAGGTTGTATGGTGAGCAGTGTGAGATAACAAGGCTCTCCTCTTTGTAAAAGAGTAGCAAGAAAGAGCTGCAGCAAGCAGTTGTGGGTTCCAGGAGCTTGCACATGCAATCTGTTTTGTTGTTGTTGCTTTTTGGGATGTGATGCCGCAAGCAAATGAAGCATTGCTCTCTTAGTGTGCATTTGCCCTACTGAGTATAGGTTGCCTTAACTTTGGAAGAATGTAACTTAGTTTTGCCTGATTTAGGGGTTCTGGACAACATACATCTCAACATACATGTAGCCATTCTTCTCCCTTTCTCTGCAAGTTTAATGTTAGGGTAGTCCCAGATCACGCTTTTGTGTGCCCCCCCCCCCCCTCTGTTCTCATGTCTGGATGTGCAGCTCACACAGAACTCTCTCTAGGTAGAATCCCAAGTCTCAGAGGAGACCTGATGGGGAATGAACAAAATAAGTATTTACTTATTTGCAATCTGTGATGTGTTCATAGAATTTTAGAAAACACTGCAGGTTGTAAAA